TCACTGTGACCTATGTTTTACTGTACGTCACTGTGACCTATGTTTTACTGTAGGTCACTGTGACCTATGTTTTACTGTACGTCACTGTGACCTATGTTTTACTGCAGGTCACTGTGACCTATGTTTTACTGTAGGTCACTGTGACCTATGTTTTTGTTTCACTGACTTTGGTCAGACTTTATGTTCAGCCCTATTTTCATCCAATCGGGAGTTGCGACATATGCATGTCTTTCAAATTGTTTTGTTTGTTTTTGAAGTTGCTCTGGAAAAACATTGAAGATTGTTTACTGTTTTTTTGTCCGTTTTTCCCTTCCATGTAGTGCCTTCCGCACCTCCGACAATAGAGACAACAAGTACATCCCCAACAAACATACAGGTGACCTGGAGCGAACTCTCTCGGGAGCTTAGCAACGGCATCATCACAAGGCATCTGATTTACTACAAAACTGGCACGTCACGGCCCAAGGTCATAGAGGTTGCATCCAACAAGACCAGCTACATGATCACAGGTAAAGCCTTAACTCATTCACCCCTGAAATTTCTTAATGAACTACTCCAACTTTTGAATTGGAAAAATTCAATGTGTCTTCAGGGCTGAAGGGGTTAATTCATATGAAGTCAGCTAATTGGTCTCCTGTAAAGCGCTTCAGTTTCAAATTGTCATAGTTTTGCACTATCGTATAACTACCCCTGGTGCTGTTTTGCAGGGATTAAAATTCAACATGGTAGAAACATGGTAGAAAATTAGTCATTATTTGGCTAACTTGAGATCAAACGTATATATATATATCTATATTTCAGCGGCAACACTATCCCAATATCCATGTAAATATGGCATGACTTGTAAGAGACTTGGTTCTGTAGGATTCTTAGACAGTGTTAACACCAGTGGAGACAAAAAACAGCACACAAGACAGATACTAACAATACATATATAAATAATTTGAGGCGTCGTCTCAAAAGCTACACATTATCGAATCCCGTCAATCCATTCATAAACAGGTTTCACATAGTGTGTAACTGATTCAGAAGCATGACATACATAAAAGTCATAACCGTATCCATTACGTTTAAGATATTTCTGATCATTCGTCTGAATCGGACACATCGGAGAAATGGAAACTATACAATCGTGACTTCTTTTGCTTTACATAGATTTCTGAATATTTTTGAGATGACCCTTAAAACCTGTCAACTTGGCGTCCATCTTGGCTCGATGATCTTGATGATTTCAACCATTGTTAAAATTCGTTGTTAAATGACCCTCATTTAAAGCGGCAACCATCACTGAGAGAATTTCAGCTGAGTGACAGGACATTTTCCAAAACAATAACCCTTTTTACCCTCCAAAATGAGGGGAAGTCACCATTACCTTATTTGCACACACTTATTCATGAGGACATCTTGCGAATGTTGTGTAACAATTTTTACTTTGTTGGTAGGTCTGAGATCGGATACAGACTACTTCCTGCTCGTGTTGGCCGGGACTGCCGAGGGCTACCCGACTCAGGCTGAGGATTTCTGGACCTGGACCCAACACCACACGCCCAGCATAGACGTGGGTAGGTAAACACTGAGATGTTCAAGGTCATTACCTTCAAACTTAAAACATGGTGCTGCTTTCTGTTCTACGGAGTTGCCTGCTCATGAAATTAAGGTTATGATTGAGATTGAAATCATGGTGTGTTTTCTGTTTCACCGAGTTATATACCCCTGCTCCATAGGGTATAGTTGGATAAAAACCATGATGTACTTTTAATTTTTACAGAGTTACCTGCCCTTGATCTGGAGATTATGATCGTGAATAAAAGTATGGCATGATGGTGCACTTTCTAATTACAGAGTAACCTGCCCTTGATCTGGAGATTATGATCGTGAATAAAAACATGGCATGATGGTGCACTTTCTAATTACAGAGTTACCTGCCCCTGAACTTGAGGTTATGATGGTGAATAACAATACTGTACGCTTTCTGTGGAATGTTGGTAACGTCTCAGAACCTGTAATGGGCTATCGTCTCTCTGTACACAAGATTCTAGAACAAGATGGCGTGCCAGCAGAGGTCACGGAGGTCAACGCCACAACGACCACTTTTTATATGTCTGGTCTCGGTAAGTTGTTTGTTGATGAAATAAGGTTGGACCTAGTAATCTGATGCTGCTTTCAGGTGGGCCTTAACAAACCCTTGCAAGGTCTGCATAAACATTCACAGGTTCGCCTGGATTTATACCCGATAATATTACATTTTAAAACTGACAAACCGGTTCCACATAAATGAACAGGCCCCATGGTTTGAATCAAGGCCTCAGGTCCAGTTGTATTTGTTTTCTGATTTTTTAGGTCACCTGAGACAAAGTCTCAAGTGACCTATTGCGATCGCCTTTTGTCCGTCGTCGTCTGTCGTCCGTCGTGCGTCCGTAAACAATTTACATTTTCGACTGGTTCTCCAAAACCCCTGAACCAATTTCAATGAAATTTTGCAGGGACCTTCCATAGTGGCCGGTTTAGTCCTAAGCCCCCAGGGGCCTGAGGGGCGGGGCCAAAAAGGGTCAAATTGACTAAAATTTCAAAAATCTTCTTCTCCAAAACCCCTGAACCAATTTCAATGAAATTTTGCAGGGACCTTCCATGGACAAAGGTCAACAAAAATAGT